TTTAGGATTTTAATTTGTCAGGATTTTGTATATCGGGATTTTGTTGCCGGGATTTTGTGTGTCGGGATTTTGTGTGTCGGGATTCTGATATACAACCCGCCAGAGGTAACCGTTATTTTTTTTTTAATATCTATCACTAAAAATATAGAGTGAAAATTTTATCATTTTCCATATTGCTATTACTATATTTCGTATCGTCACTGTCACTGCATTTGTTTTTACTGATGCAAAAGCTATCCAAGTTCTTTACATACCAAGGTAAGATATTTATTATTTAAATAATTAATAGATAATTATATCATTAAATTAATATGTATTTTTATTTAAAAAATATTAGCATATTATTTTTATTTGTTCCCATAGTATTCAACCTAGTTCTAGCACTTTCAATATTATTTACGGAGAGGGATAAAAATTTTATTGATTGGTTTGCAAGATATGGAAAAATTGCTATTTCATTCGCGTTGTTATCTGGCTCAAGTATTGATGTGTTATTAACATTAAAATCATATTTGCTGAAACTTGATCTTTTCAATGCTCCATTGTCCGATAAGTCTCTGAAATTAATTTTTTGGGGGTCTTGCATTGATATACTTCTATCAGATATTCCACAATTTGTTATTCAGGTATATTATTTTAATAAAATATGTTTAATTATGAATTTTAAAATTGCTAATTCATATAAATTATTTTAGATATTTTACATTCTTTATAGTATCGAAATTGAAATTCTTCTATTATTCTCTTTGGTAGCATCAGGCCTTTCATTGCTTTCCAACATACTTAGCAAATTGTTCTTTATTAAATTCAAAGCATACTCTCCTTATTTAAGTACTTAACATGAGGATAGTGTTGTTGAATCATTGCTTGACATAATAAAAAATGAACTAAGGATCTGAATGATATATTAAATAAATTTTTAATTTTTTGTAGTTTTAATACCTTTTAACTTATAAAATTATATTGTTATGACTTTATTTTTATTTTGGGTTAGCTACAACTAAATTATTTAGTAAGTGCGATCAGAAACTGTCCAGTTATAAATATATTATGCATGTTATACATGGCATCGTGTTAAATTTTTTTTGTTAGGGGCTGGGTTAATCTTTGATTAGGCCTTTTGGTTATCAGGTAACCTAGTTTACCCTCAGGTAGGGATCTTTATAATTGAAAAAAAAAAAAAAAAAAAATCGATGCATTCATTTCTCAGTTGATTTTAGTTTTTCATATCAAAAATATCTGATGGAATATACGTATCTAATCACTGCAATTATGATAAAATTGAAGTTAAAAAAGATTGTAAGGCATTTATTGTCATTAAAAATTTACCAAGATGAAAATGATAATGGAACGCATACTGTTATAAACCTAAACAAGCCAAATGGTTTTCTGATTCTTTTTTCAAATATTCTCATTTTTCTTTTTAGTATTTTGTTTTCAGGTTAATAAAGTTAATCTTTATTCTAGCATAATTTTTTGGTTCTTTTTGCTCAGGAGTATAAATTTTTGTTTTAACGTTTTATCGCAATTTGCAAAATGGAGTACCTTTGACAAAATTTGTTGATCGCAGGTCATTTCGCAGTGCTTATGAGTCCGTTTTTTTATGGTTATGTTTGATAGTTAGTGTACAGTAGGCGGCAAAAGTAACGCCCGATTTTCAAGAAAATAAAGGTTTATGATTTATTCTATTTTTGCTCTATATACATAAAATTATTTTTTATAATTAATTAATACACTGTTAAACGCATGTAGACATTCAATATTAATGCGATTCTTTGAGGCATTGAACCATAACCGCCTCCCAAAAAAATATATCAGGGTTCACCACCCCTTCTCTAAGACAGCTCTGAGATCGTGCACGTTTTTTAAAGAGGATTTAAACTTTTGAATATTGTTTTTCAATGGATTTTGATTATTTTGTTAGACTTTGGCCAGGAGGACTTCACTTTGCATCATATTCTAATTTTTTTTTTTTGATTTTAAGCTATTTATCAGTTTTTTTATAACATGAATGTGACAGTTATTTAATTAAACCATCAAATTTACTTTAATCAACAATTGAACTTAAACACAAAATGGGATAAGATAGTTGTAGGGAACTTAAATATAACAATTTTTATTGATTTTTTATTTTATTTCTTAAAAAAAAAATACAATAAAATTTCATTTAATCTGTGAACACTCTCCCATCATAACCAAAACCCACCTGCCTCTAAAACTTGATACTAGCTATTTATTTTTATATTCTTCAACATGCGATATTATACTTTAACTTGCCAGGTTTGCTTGCCTACTTCTCTTGCTATTTTATTCAAAAATAACATGCTTTTATTTGCACATGTCCCTATTTTTTTTTTGCATTAAATTTAATGTTTAATAATTTTGTCATCTATCAAATATGGACTTATAGTTACAATAACAAACTTAACTATGAAAAAGAACAGAACCTTAGCTATTTTAAAGATAAGTTAGGATTTCCTTTAGTATAGGTGGCCAATATAGAAATATTATAAGATTATAGTATAAAAAAACTCTAACCCTAACCTTGACCTAACTATAAATTATACTATACAGTAATCCTCACCCTAACCCTAACTATTCCCAAATTTGCTTAAATTTATTTTCATATATTATAATCTTATAATATTTCTACAAAAGATCAACTATAAGTTAAAGCATCACATTAGATAAGCTAAAGTAATATAATATAGAGAAAATTAGGGAACATTTATATAGAATATGAAAAATTAATAAAAATATTAAATATTAAACATAATATTATAAAAAAAAAAACAATATTCAGTAATTTCAAATAAGGATAGCTGTGCAATATACAACACTGTACAGGACCAGTATGATTATGTGCAATAAGTAAAATTTAAGCTACTATGCTCAATTAAGTCAGAAGACATTAGTGCAGTTTTAAGATAGATAATATTTATTTTACCATAAATACTCGAAATAGCAGGCAGGGCATTAGTAATAAAAATACCCGTGATCTTGATATAGTGATCGAGTATTTTTTTGAAAATCGCGCCCCTAAAAATAGCATAGGTGGTTTCGAAATAACGCCAATGCGCGTCCCGAAATAGCGCGCACTTCAAAGAGCAAGTATCAGTGAATATCGGAATACAAAACTCCCAATATGCACCTGAATTTTACCGCTAAATATAGCATATCGGTAGCATATCAGTAGTCTTGTATCCGATATTTACCTGATATTTATTCATTCGACCTGTTTATAATATTAGTAACAATCGAATTCCAGAATTAATACTTTATCTCGAAATAAAGCCCATGGGCGTATTTGAAATAACGCGCACGTAGCCAATATAGCGTGCAGATGCTCGCTATTTCGAGAATTTATGGTATATATAAATCTTTGATGGGAAAATGTGCAGTGATTCGCACACATGAATGTGCATCGGCCCATCTCTAGTTCGGAATACATAGATTTGGTTTAGAGGGAGTTGAATGTCGTGATCTGTATTAAACTATATTAAGCAATATTTTCTACTATACCAAATACAATAAAAAGACTTTCGATTTCTTAATTGTTTAGACGTACTGAAGCTATTATTTACATCGTTGTCATAAAAAAAAAAAACTTTTATGTGTAGGAATTAATAATCTTCTAATTCGTTTCGAAAACGAAAATTATAGAGAATTTAACTTTATTAAATTGCTCTAGAAATTAACCCGTTCATTTTTGTGCTGCATCTTGAAAAAGCTGAATGGATTCAACGGGTAATTCTTTATCTACGGATATTTAGTATCTATTATGATTAATGTATTGTTTGTACTCTATTTAGAATATTATCTAGAATTTGCCACGAAACTAGCTCAACAATATGAGAAAATAATTCTTGAGCATCAAAAACAAAATATACTATTGGTAATAAAGTATTTGAAAAATTTGGTCAACCGACTGATTTAGTCACTGAAGCCGATATAAAAGTTGAAGAATTAATCAAATCAAAACTGAAAGAAAAATTTCCGGATCATATGTAACAGTTTATATATATATACATTATCGTGCATTATTCACTTATTATTAAATATACTATTAAATTGATATTTAAAGGTTTATCGGAGAAGAGACAAAAGCCGCTGGGGATAACTATGAATTTACAAATAAACCAACATGGATTATTGATCCAATAGGTGAGATTATATATCTTCTAACTAGAATTTAATCGTATACAATACTAATATAAATTTAATGTTTTAGATGGGACAACTAATTTTGTTCAAGGGTATAATGTAGAATTGTTCATTCTTATTTCTGCAATAAAAATTAAATTTATTTATTTAATTTCTATTATAGTTTTCCTTTTGTTGCTGTCTCAATTGGACTAACTATCAATAAGGAACCCGTTGTTGGTGTTGTGTTTAACCCATTCCCTAATGAAGTAAGTAATATATTTTATTATAAATATCCATAGATAATATTGAAAACCAGCATGTCACTACTTGAAATGCTACAGTATAATGGCATACCGGTGTGCCATACCTAAATTTTAAAATCTATTAGGCATGCTATTATTAGTAAAAATATATTAACTTTTGATCAAACCAAAAGCAATATTAAAATATACTCTAGTTATTCTTCTTGAATCAGGGGGTATCATGGTTAATGGTCACGACTTCAATGAAGGTCCAGTAAACCTTTTTTGTCGGAAATGCTTAAGTATTAGAGGTGGTTCACCATACGAAGGTGATGAAAATTCTAAACAAAGTCAATTACGCCTTATTAGAGAAATGTTGGATGTTGTTGAAGAAGTTGATTGCCCGAGATTTTAATTGGTATTTATATAATTCAACACATGATATATAACATACAAATTATATCTTTTAATTCTTTATAAATAAACAAAATAGTAATTAATTAAAGCTTAAAATAAGTTAACTAAATTTATTTCAAATATGTTTGATAACAAAAGATTATATAAGTAATATTATTACTTTTGATACTTCATGTAAAGCAAATTAAAAAAGAAATTTATAAGTAGCATTTTTTTTTTTAGAGTTCCGATCCGAATTAATCCACCACCCACAATGTCGTGTGTGAATCAGAGATTCCGTAGATTTTAATATTATCGATTTCAAATAAACATTAATACGGTGAAAGAATAAAGTTACCGGCAAGTATTTTAAATATATTGCTTCTATAAAAAGTTGATGCTTTTAAGGTTAACATGTTTAATCGAAAATTGAAACAAACGAAACATTTGATTGGCTAATGTAAATTGATAAACAATCAGTTTACAATTTTATTGAATATGAGCTTCTCATACCGTTTAATTGATCGAAAATATGGATTAATAGACATTTAGAATCTTAATCGTGGGGTACATCTTTTTGAAATGCGCTGTAATTCGATTACAATTATTAACTGCCAGTTAGTTTAGTTTCGAATAGTACAGACGTTTAATTTTTTATGCTTTGACTTCGCTTCGCACGGCAGGATTTAAATTTTACATTGTTTATATACAACGGCTAATTACATCATATTGTAGTTCAAGATTTAATCAAGATCCATAATTACATGGATACGATTTAAACTTAGACAACCATTATATTTCTTTGCTACGATTCCTTCACTATGCCTTTGATGATTGGTGATTATCAAATCATATACTTGGTCTTTAATCAAAATCATATAATTGTTAAGTTTATAACATAAAAATATCTCTTAATCAAACATATGAATAAAAGATTACTTGAATACCACTAACTGTATGCAAATCTTACCTACTACTGAATAGTATTTTAAAATCGATCGTTATAATACGTGTCATGTATACTTTTTCGGATACAGTAACTTCCTAATCGTTAGGTTGGTCATTCATTGTGGGTTTTCTAAAGACCATCAGTCTAAATTAGTGTGTTTATTTAAAAATGATTTTATTAAAATACACTTATGATTGTACATACGTACGTACTGTATGTATTACGAGATTCTATCAGGTTTTATGCAAATCCTTTTGTGACCTTTTTCAATAAGAAAACTGTTCAAATTTATGAATGTTTATCGTTATATTATTCGTATCAATTTAATTATTTTTTATCACCAATTTTTTCCAGGCGACGTTAGGGTCATTGTTAAAATTTCCGTTCCTAGTTTTTTACAATGACGTCGCGCGGATATCTAGCCATACGTATAACAGGACAAATTGTGTGACATACCCATGATCGATATTCCTACTTAAACTATATTAAATAATGTAAAATTTTTTTTTTTTTGTCTTGATTCGCTCCGAAAACGAATATTATAGAGAATTTAAGTTTATAATCTTACCGTAATTTTATCAACTTCTCTGGAAATTACAACCGTTCATTTTTGTACTGCATCTTGAAAAAGTCAAATGGATTCAACAGGTAATTCTTTATTTGCTGACATTTAGTATCTATGATGTCTAATATATTATTTGTACTCTATTTAGAAATTTATCTAGAATTTGCCACGAAACTAGCTCAACAATGTGGGCAAATAATTCTTGAAGCATCAAAAACAAGATTTACTGTACTACTGGTAATAAAGTATTTGAAAAGTTTGGTCAACAGACTGATTTAGTCACTGAAACTGATATAAAAGTTGAAGAATTAATCAAATCAAAACTGAAAGAAAAATTCCCGGATCATATGTAACCAGTTTATATATATTATCGTGCGTTAGTATCTTATTAATTATTAAATATACAATTAAATTGATACTTAAAGGTTTATCGGGGAAGAGACAAAAGCCGCTGGAAACAATCATGAAATTACAGATAAACCAACATGGATTGTTGATCCAATAGGTGAGATTAGATATCTTCTAATTAGAACTTAGTCGTATATAATACTAATGTAAATATGTTTTAGATGGAACAACTAATTTTGTTCAAGGGTATAATATAGAATTGTTCATTCTTATTTCTGCAATAAAAATTAAATTTATTTATTAATTTTTATTATAGTTTTCCTTTTGTTGCTGTCTCAATTGGACTAGCTATCAATAAGGACCCATTGTTGGTGTTGTGTTTAACCCATTCCTCAATGAAGTGAGTAATATATTTTATTACAAATGTCTATAGATAATATAAGAAAACCAGTATGCACTATGTGACTTGTTATCATTATTTTAAATTTTGATCAGACTAAAACACGATATTACAATATACAATATATTTATTAATATATATAAATATATATAGAGACCTGTTATTGCCACCCCCCATTTTTGTTAATGCCACCCCCCTAAATATCAAAAAGTGCCCTGAAAAAGGTATTTCTTTAAAGTAAATCTTTATTTTGATCTTAATAAAAGTTGTTCATCAGACTTTCTGGTTCTAATGGTAGTAAAATCATTAAAATCGGGCCAGTAGTTTTTTTTTTTTTTTAAAGTAAACAAAAGTTAACTAATTTCGGATATATATATCCTAGAAACTACTAACCCAATTTTAATGATTTTACTACCATTAAAACCGGAAAGGCCTGATGAACAACTTTTATTAAGATCAAAATAAGGATTTACTTAATAGAAATACCTCTTCCGGAGCACTTTTTGATATTTGGGGGTGGCATTAACAAAAATGGGGGTGGCAATAACAGGTCGCTATATATATTAGTGTATTGAATGATAATGGCATGCCATACGGCATACCAAATTTTTAGCCATATTAGGCACCCTGTGACAATTGCTTATTTTTATATTTCTTAAAAATAAACATTTTTACAGCTATTCACTGCTCGTAAAGGTCATGGTGCATTTTTAAATCATACAACTAGGCTTCCATTATCCCATCCATATCCTCCGCCTGTGCTACCATCTAGTCTTTCTCAATGTTTGATAGCTTACGAATTTAGTGGTTCTGATAGAACGGATTGGCTTCTTAGTAAAAAGATTGATTCAGTTCATAATTTGTTAAGTTCATCTGGGAGTTCCAAAAAAAGCTGGAGCGGTACACGGAGTTAGATATTTATGTAGTGGTGTTCTAGACTTATGTTATGTGGCCAAAGGTTGTTTAGATATGTCTTTTACGATTGCTTGGGAATAGTTTGTAAATGTTTTCATCGCTATCAAACTACTTTTTTTTTATTATTATATTTTCGATAATATTTATAATTTATAGGGATGTGGCGGCATCTCTTGCTATTCTTATTGAATCAGGGGTATCGTGGTTAATGGTCGCGAGTTCAATGAAGGTCCAGTAGACCTTTTTTGTCGCAAATTCTTATGTATTAGAAGTGGTTCACCATGTGAAGGTGATGAAAATTCTAAACAAAGTCAATTACGCCTTATTAGAGAAATGTTAGATATTATTGAAGAAATTGATTGCCCAAGAACTTAATTGGTATTAACACAGAATATATAATATTACGAATGTATCTTCTAATATTTATAAATAAACAAAATCGTAATTAAATAAAAGCTTAAAATGATAACTAAATTTATTTTAAAAACAAATGATTATACGAGTTAGTGTTTGTAGTAGAGATGGGCACGCGCGTGATCCGCGCGTGATCCCGCGCGTGATTCCGCGCGGGATGCGCGGGATTATTTTAGAGC